GCCTTCTTGTCTGCCCACTTCCTATTGCCCCTCAGGGCTCTCGAAGACATCAGACCAGGCCTACATTGAGTTTGAGAGCATCGAGGCTATTGTGAAGACTGCCAGCCGCACCAAGTTCTTCATAGAGTTCTACTCCACTTGCCTGGAGGGTCAGAGGCGGGGCCAAGGGCTGGATGTGGACCAAGAGGGAGGGGAGGCCAGAGGGCACCAGAATAGTCAAGGGCAAGGGAAGAGAAGGAGGTGGCATTTAGTTGGGTGTCACTTCCCCATCAGAATACAAGAAGAGCTTTGAGAACGATGCCCAGAGCAGTGACAACATCAACTTCCTCAAAGTGCAGTGGTCTACCCGCCAGCTGCCAACGGTGAGGTTTGGGCAGGGTTCAGCCTTGTGGGCACTGGCACAGATTGGCAGGTTGGCAGAGTGCATGTGGGAGCCTGCCTCGGGGTGGGCCAGTGTAGCCTGTGCAAGTGTAAGCACGTGTGTAGTCACGTGTGTGGATCTCCTTTGGTTGGGCATGGATGAGAATAAGGAACATTTGCCAGTATTTGGCAGCAGTATAGGGCCAAGGTGCAGTCATTCATTTGTTCAATAAATACTTTTGGTGGAGTCTTTGCTAAATATTAGGTCCTGTGTTGGTCACTGAGAATGCAGAAAATTAATTACAGTGAAATTTAGGGCTATGCAAAGCCCATGCAGGGCTGGTCTTCCACATTAAGGATTTGGGATCTTTTCTTACAAATGTGTGTGAGCAAGCCTGGAAGTGGGGGTGAGGGATGTCTGGACAGAGGGAGTTTCTCTTCATGGAATCTCTCTGCTCCCCAGCTGAAGCCGATTCTGGCTGACATCGAGTACCTACAGGACCAGCACCTCCTGCTCACTGTCAAGTCCATGGATGGCTACGAATCCTATGGTAAGGGTGAGGGGTCCTGAGAGTTACGAGAAACCAGGCAGGGGCTTAGAAGGGTTTGGCAATTTACTGCTCTGTCCACTACCCTTCAGGGGAGTGTGTAGTTGCCCTCAAGTCCATGATTGGCAGCACGGCCCAGCAGTTCCTAACCTTCCTGTCCCACCGAGGCGAAGAGACAGGCAACATCCGTGGCTCCATGAAGGTGCGGGTGCCCACAGAGCGCCTGGGCACCCGTGAGCGGCTTTACGGTGGGGACTCTGTTAGGGAAGAGTGTGGGCATGAGACAGGGTGGTGTGGTGGACAGGGCAGGCCCAGGAAGGAGGACCCTGGAGGGCATGTTGGAGTCCCTGGGGTGCCTAGAAGTTCTGTAGCTTCAGCTGGGGTGGAATCACCCCAATAACTTGGAAGGGGCTAACAGGCCCAGTGTGTGTTAAGTCCATCTTCCTCATCCCCAGAGTGGATCAGCATTGACAAAGATGAGGCAGGAGCAAAAAGCAAAGTACCATGCATGTCCCGGACCAGCCAGGAGTCCAGGTGAGTTGGAGTTGTGGAAGATGTCACCTGTGCACCCCGGAGGATCAGGGGGCCCTCACTTAATTTCCCTTTCCTTGCATATCCTTGGCAGGTCAGGGAGCCGCAGGCCAGCCCTTGCTGATGCCTGCCCACTGTCCAAATTATTTGAAGAACCAGAGAAACCACCACCCACTGGAAGACCCCCAGCCCCACCCCGAGCAGCTCCCCGGGAGGAACCCTTGACTCCCAGGTAAGAGGAGGAACCTGTTATCCTTCCATGTCCCATCTTCTTCCCACTTTAGCCATCTCTAGGTTTGGATAAGCAGGCTGTGGGGACCATTTGCATTTTGGGAGCTTTGCTGTCCATAGCTGGAGGTGCTGTGGCCTGTAAACATGGTGCTTCCTCCCTGTTGGGCCTCCCTTAGGTGTGGCTCCTTGATTCAAAGGGAGCACCTTCAGCTTTTCCTCTCAATTCTGCCTTTAATAAAATAGAATTATAAATTGTATTTAAAACATCTCCTTCTGTATAAACAGACTTAGCCTTCTTTTCGGAGAAGAGATGAGGCATAGCACAGGATTTCCTAAGGTGTATTCTCTGGAACACTGTCCTATAGGTGCCCACTAAAAACGGGCTTGTGGTTGGATGTATTTGGGAAATGCTTCTTGCTAGATTTTTTTTTTTTTATTCATAGCACATATTAGTATTAACAAAAGCCCTCTAAACTTATTTCCAGGAAGGAAATTTTTTTTTTTTTACGTTCTGCTTAGAAGTTTCCCCAACTTAATTTTTTATCCACTTTTATCCACTTATTAACTATTAATATCCTGTGGAACTAGTATTCAGAGTACTATACATTAAGAATGCAAGACTTGGTTTCAAATTATATGTAGCTATTGCTTGAACTTAAATAAGCACTCCTTGGTGCTTTTCCCTCCGCCTTTCATCTTGGTTGAATTCTCATGCTTCAATAAAATTTACTTAAATCTTTGGCTAAGACCTCTCAGGTATGTCTCCAAGCCATTGGTCCATCTCACTAAAGAGTTTCACTGCCCTTGTTAAGACCACACTCCCAATTCTTCTCTTCTTTCACTGTTCTTCACCTTGGGTTTCTGGGCCCTGACTTGGTTATCCTGTTATGAAATCCAGGAAGCCAGAAGGGGCTCCAGAGCCCGAAGGGGTGATGGCACCCCCACCCAAGAACAGCTTCAATAACCCCGCCTACTATGTCCTTGAGGGAGTCCCACATCAGCTGCTGCCTCCAGAGCCACCTTCACCTGCTCGGGCCCCTGCCCCACCTACCACCAAAAACAAAGTGGCCATCACAGTGCCTCCTCCACAGCTTGGACGCCACCGGCACCCTCGTGTGGGTGAAGGGAGCTCCTCAGATGAGGAGTCTGGAGGCACACTGCCCCCTCCAGACTTTCCACCTCCACCACTGCCAGACTCTGCCATATTCCTACCCCCCAGCCTGGATCCTCTGCCAGGGCCAGTGGTCCGGGGTCGCAGTGGGGGTGAGGCCCGGGGCCCACCATTACCCAAGGCCCATCCTAGGCCCCCACTGCCCCCAGGCCCCTCATCTGCCAGCTCTTTCCTGGGTGAGGTGGCCAGTGGAGACGACCGCTCCTGCTCAGTGCTGCAGATGGCCAAGACGCTGAGTGAGGTAGACTATACTCCTGCTGGACCTGGCCGGTCAGCACTCCTCCCAAGTACCCTGGAGCTGCCACCACCCCGAGTACTGCCCTCAGACTTTGGCCGCCCCCTCAGCTTCCCTCCACCCCGAATCCGAGAGAGCATCCAGGAGGACCTGGCAGAGGAGGTGTGTGGGCCAGGGGTGGCTGGTTGTGCTACCTGATGTGTATGTGTGCCCAGGGTCTGTGGGAACCCCCTTCACTCTGCAGCACTCATAGGTGGGTACACCATGCCCACTCACTCCCACTGCCCTGAAGAGGGCACTGGAGAGTGGAGAACACTTGGGTTGGCCCAGCCCTTACCTCCCTTTACCCTAGAGCATGTACTGTAGTGTGGCTGTCTGCTGGTTCTTCCCAGTGTCTGTTTTTGTGGGCACCCACCATGCTCCCCTTGACACTCCCTATTTCCTCAGGCTTCTTGCCCGCAGGGCGGGCGGGTCGGCGGGCAGGGCGAGGCGGGCATGGGCGCCTGGCTGCGGGCCATCGGCTTGGAACGCTATGAGGAGGGCCTGGTGCACAATGGCTGGGACGACCTGGAGTTTCTCAGGTGGGGGCGGGTCTGGAGACCTTGGGGGTGAGGCTGGCCCTGGGGGCGGGGCCAAGGACCTGGTTAGGGCCTATTTGCCGAAGACCCACCCTCCCTTACCTCCACAGCGACATCACGGAGGAAGACCTGGAGGAAGCTGGAGTGCAGGATCCTGCTCACAAGCGCCTCCTTTTGGACACCCTTCAGCTCAGCAAGTGATGCCAGAGGCTACGGAAAGCTGGGGACTTAAAGCACCTCTGCCCCCCCTCACAAAGGCCCATCCTTAGCCCCAGTGTTCAGAAGCCCCAAGGGCATGGCAGTTCTTTCTGCCTATTTATTGGGAGCCTTGCTTCCCACAGCCCAATCAGCTGGAGCGTCCTAACTGGGACATCCTGTCCCCGCCTTTTAGGTCCAGCTTCTCCAGAGGTCAGTTGCCAGGTTACCAGGGCCCTTGGTTACTTTGGTGCTGCTTTCTCATTCTGGAATCCCCTTTCCAGACCCAAGGATGCCAAAGGGGGGCAGTTGGGTACGTCTGATCCCCACTTCCACAGCTATTTCTACTGCCCTCCGCAAGGCCTGAACCACAGGATTGAACTAGCATCAACTAAGACCTCTCCTCAGATCTCCCACTTAGGGAGTGTCCGTCCGGAAATTGAAGGAACAGCCCAAAGATTGGGCTGATGTTTATTTAAGCTTCTCTGTGTGGGTTGGGGAGGGCACCTTAATATTATTGGGGTGGGTTGACGGCATGATCTCTCCATAAAGTGGTGGTGTGCCCAATTTTCGTGGCTGCCTGGTTCCTATCGCCAGCACCCAAGGAGCTGGCTGGGCACCAGGGTTCCTCAGAGTTCACAGCTGGGGACTGGTCTCGCAGGCACACTGCCCGCCAAGGCCACTCAGGAGGGCTCCAGCATGATGTCTTCAATAAATTAAGTTTTATTTGGATTGAGCAGAACGAACTCACCTCAATAAATTACTGACACCTTTTTCAAAGGAAACAAAAATCTGGATAAAGGGAAACAAACTCCTCTGTCCCTTGCCTGGGAAGTTGTCCACTCCTCTGACCAGCTGGCCTTCTGCACCAAACCACAGCTGGGGTGGGAAGCGGTGCTGGTGAACCAGTTGAAAGCAGGGCTCTGGGCTAAGGCTGAACTATTGAGCCACAACCATGCCAGCAACGACTGACAGCTAGCCCGTGGGTGGGTTGGAGGGATGTAGCAGTGGGCACTGGTGGTTACCAGGGTGAGGCCCGACCCAACTGGCTGCAGAGCTGACGGAGAGGGCCGGGCGGGTTCTCCTTGAGGACTCTCATAGTAGGGGGACAGTGTTACAGCCGGGTGGTGGTATCTGATCCTAGTTCCAAGGAAGGCCAGGCAAGAAGAGGGGGCGGACTCCAGGCTGCCCTAGATGGTGGCCTTGTGAAAAGCATACCCCTTTTGTTGGGTAAGGGTGGGCGAGACAAGGGTGGCCTCGACTTGATCTCCAAAGCTGGGAAGAGTACACCCCAGGGCCAGAAACAGTGGGGTTAGGGGGGGATGGGGCCTTCCAGGCCAGCAGCCAGGATGGGGAGGGGCTCTGTCAGGTCCTAGCAGGACAGGGGCTCCTCTGGGGACAGGCCTGGAGCCTCCAGTCACGCAGCTAGAAGAGATTGGTCTTCAGAGCGGGGCCGGGCTTTCGGTGGAAAGAGGACAGAACCCCCGAGAAGGGCCCGGGGCCAGGCTCCGCGGGCTGCCACGCCTTGAGCAGCTCCGCCGCGCCCGCGCCTGGACCGCCGCCCCCACCACCAGTCACCCCGGCCCATAAAGGGCCCTTGAGCGGTTGAGGCCCCGGCCCGGGCGCCGAGCCCAGGGCGGCGGGCAGCGGGCTGGGGCTCAGGCGTGGACTGGCCAGGCCGGGGGCGGGCGGCGGCGGCGGCAGGGACGCTGTGCTGTCGGGCGTGGGGCTGCACGTGGACTCCTTGGAGTCGTCGTCCTCGGACGAGCAGCGCGCCTCCCCCTTTTTGGTTCCCGCGGCGCCCGCCGCTCCCTTGGCGCTGGCCGCGCGCTCCTGCTTACGGAATTTGGCCCGTCGGTTCTGGAACCAGACCTGCCGGCACAGGGACCAGTCAGCCGGACTGAGGGTCCGTAGGACAGCACAGCGGGGTGGCCGCCTCCGTTCAGAAGGCGTGAAGCTGGCCTCCCTTTCTGGGACCGTTCCCTTCCCCACCTACCAGCCCCTTTCTCTGGTTCGTCGCCTCCACCCCCAGCTTCCTAGAATCCCGCTGCCTCTGTGTTCTTGCTCTTCTGAACGCCACCTTTCTCACACCCTGCCTCTCGGCCCTCTTTTAAGAAGCCCCAGGCGTTCCTGCCGGAAGCGCCCAGGGTACAGGAGAAAGTTAAGAGTTGGGGGGGGGGGCGGCGATTTCTTTTCCTCTAGGTTTGCAGCACTGGCGCGCCCACAGAATAGTTGTATCCACATGAATACAACACGGATTTACATAAAGACAACAGAATCCATCCAGCCGGCTCTCCTTGGCCCTGCGTGTAGCTACCGCAAGCCCAGGCGCTGGGGGTTTCACAGCTGTAGAACCAGGCAGGGGGCCTCTGGGGCTCTGTCCAGCTCTAAGGCCGCCTAATGAATACTCGCCCTCGACTGGACTATCTCGGCTTTTCCTGCGTGTCTGACTGTCCAGCCTCACGTCGGAGGCTGAAGGGAAATCTAAACGAGTCAGTGTGGGGCCAAGTCTTAAGAGTTATTTGCCTAGTTTACGCCCCCAAGCTGCACTGGTCTCTGGCCCTGAGTTCCGCACTCGCCGCAGCCCAGCCCAGGGATCCTTAAAGCCCCAGATCGCCATTACCCCTCTCCCCCCACACACACTCCGCATACACACACGCGCGTGTGTACGCACCTGCACGCGAGCCTCAGTAAGGTCGATCTTGAGCGCCAGTTCCTCGCGCGTGTAAATGTCGGGGTAGTGGGTCTCCGCGAAGACGCGCTCCAGCTCCTTGAGCTGGGCGCTGGTGAACGTGGTGCGGATGCGCCGCTGCTTGCGCTTCTCATGCAGGCCAGACGGCTCTGGGAAGAACTTGTAGGGCACTGCGGATGTGGGCAGGAGGGAAATACGTGAGTTGGGGAAGCATAGGGGCTGAGCTCGGCCTCTAGGTCTTTCTCAAGTGGTTAGGAGGATGGTCAGCTCTCTTCCCACTAGCAGCCTAGGTCATCCTCTCTGCCTCACACAGGGTGCCTCTGGCCAACTCGACCTTGCTATTTGCTGTGAAGGTGGACAAGGAGAGTTGAAAGGCCTGGGCCCAAAAACTGCCCCGATGTAACCAGAATCTGATCCTCCAGACCTCCTAACCCCATTGGTTCACCTGCTGCACGACTCTTCCCCGATTCCCTTCTCTGTGGCCCCACTTCTGGTCCTGCCATCAGTCCTCTGATCTCACAGAATCTCCCAGCCTGTCCTAGGTCTCTCAGTGGAGACTCTCCTGCCTCAAGCTACCTTCAGTCAGCCTTGCATGGATGCTCTGCAGGTGCGAAGATGGCACTCTGCCTTGACCCAGGCCTAGCTCTGTCACCTCTTTTCAGTGTCCCCCTTCTGGAGCACTCTTTCTCTTTGTGCCCCTGGTTCATCTGTCTCCCTTCACCCTTTCCTTCCTCCTAGGACTTTCCCTCTGTCACCCTGCTTCTCTTCCAGCATCCATCCCTACTGCTGACACTTTCTTCCCATCGTGATCTCCAACTTCCATTTATGCTTCTATTATTTTTAAGGGGCCCCAACCTCCACCTGTGCCCATCTCCAGTTCCGTCTCCCCTAATCCTTGTCTCCAAAACCCCATTCCTCTCTTCATCTTCCTCATCCTTATGTCTAATTTCCCTTAGTCCTTACTCCCCATAATTCTTTCCCCCCTTACTTTGTTCTTTTCTTCATCTCCCCAGCCTTTGGTTCCCCTTTCTCCCAAACTCCCCAGTATTCCCATTTCTGCTCTCATGCCCTCCTTTCTGGTCTTTATCTGACCCAGGACCCTCAATCTTGACATTCTGTTCCGGTCTCTGTCCCTGTCTCTTTGGCTCTCATCTATCTCATCACTAGCCTGGCCTGCTCCATGGGCTGCTCATACCTGAGTCTGGCTGGTCTGCCCAAGAGGAAGGGGGTTTGGGTGGGGCAGATGGAACTCTCTAGAGAACTGGTAATGGCTGAGAAAATAGGGATTCGGTGAAGATGAAAACTGGGATCAAGGGGTTTGGGTCTTAGAGGCTGCTTCTGGGCTTCGCAGCTGGAATAGTTTCCAAGGGAAATGGGGAAATTTAAGTCTTAAGGATGTAGGCCCTATTTTTCTGTAGAGTGGGTTTTGGTGAGGGTGACATAGGAGAACTGGAGGTCCCGACGATGATAAAGGTTCTTATTGGGACAGTCACAGCGTCCTTGCTGGGGGCCTCACATGATGTGGGGCCGAGGTGATTAAAAGGATTGAATTGAGCTAGAAGCCTTCCTTTTGGATACCTGGAAGGAGAGATTTGGTGGCCAGTCTTTGCAGGTGAGGAGTGGCAGGCCTGGTGAGGAGCCCTCGGTTGGATCGAAAGGATTTATTCTCTTGACCTGGAGGGTACGGGAAGGGCTATCGCCTCTAGGAACAGGGAGGAACAGGTGAGGATGAGACCCTGGGGCTGACCCTGTCAAGGAGAGTCTCCTCCTGCAGAGGACCTGGGGTGTCCCGCTCGCTAGGCGTGCGGAGGAGGGCTTGGCCAGGGCGGGATAGGTGGGAGACAGTGGTGCTCATCTGCCAGGCAGAGGGCAGGGGCTGGGAGGTCCACAGGCTTTGGAAGGCGGGTAGGACTGGGGCTAGGCTCACCTGCTGAGTAGGGCGCGGGCTGGTGGTCGCGTAGGGCTCCGAGCGCGCAGTTGGAGGAGCCGAGCGCGGGGCAGGGCGGCCCCGCCGCGGGGAAGGCTGGCCGCAGGGGGCTGTACTGGAAGCCGCCGGGTTGGCTGCAGGCGCCGAAGTCGCCGTAAGCGGACGCCTCCATGGCCGCCACGCACGAGTCGTAGGAATTGAGGTAGGAGTAGTCCATCGGCCCGGGGGGGCGGGGGCGGGGGCCAGGCGGGGCGGGGTGTGGGGTCGGGATCCTGGTCCCGGTGGGGGTCGGAATGGGGGCCCGGGAGCCCGCGCTGAGCACTCGAGGCCGGCTCGGAGCGCCCGCGAGTCCGCCCGCCCCGTCGCGGCCGCGCTCCGCCCGGGTGGACCGCAAGTGGTGGCCGGCCCGGCCCGCACGCCTTTTAACGCGCAGGACCCCGCGGAGGGGCGGGCCGGGAGCGCTCTGCGGGGGCGGGGCCTGGGCCGTCCAGACCCCGCCCCCAGCCACCCCCGACCCCCCACCCCGAGGGGCCGCGTGGGCCGCCCAGGGCTCCCGAGGTGCGGGGCGGGGCTGCGCGGGCCCTCGGCTCCAGAGTCCCCTTCCCGCTCCGGTCCAGACTCGACCCTCGGTCTTTGCTCATCGTGCCAGGCTGGAGGGTCGCGACCCCTTTCCTGGGCCTCCCCACCTGCCGCCCCGCGGAAAGGAAGACAGGCCCGGCATCGCTCTTGTGAAGAAGTTAATTCAATTCGCCTAGATAACCGAATTATTCCCTTGCAGCCCCTCGGCTCCGCCCCCCAGCGAGGTCCCATCCCGGCGGGGACACAGAGCAGGGATGGAGACAAGGGCCAGGAAGAGACGGCGCCTGGGATGGGGACAGGGCTGAAGACTGGAGGCGGAGACGCAGGGAAAGAACAGGACCAAGTGTGGAGACGGGGACCAGAGAGACAGGTACACCGATGGAGGCCCGGACGACGCGTGGGCCAGAGAGGACAGCTGGGGAGCCCGAGCCAGGAGGAAGGGGCTTGGATGGAGTCAAGGGTGAAAACCGGACAAGAGAAAAACAGGGATGGAGCTGGGACAGAAAGAGAGAGAGAGGGAGGGCGGTCCGCGGCGAGGTGGGGAAGGAACCAGGGCTCGAAGGAGATGGAAGCAGAGAAGGGGGAAAAGATGCGACAGACCGAGACAGGGATTACAGTGGGGACGGCAACAGTGAGATAGACATACACCCAGGGGTAGTTTCTGAGACAGGACCACGGGCAGAGACACGCCAGCGAGGAACTGAGTCCGAAGGTGGAGAAAAGGAGACTCTGGGCGGACGAATTGGAGCGCACAAGGGCCGAGGTGGGGGCTACCAGTGAAGGGTCGTGGATGAGCTGAGCCCCTCTAACCCCGCTTCCCCAAGGCCACACGGCCCTGACTTGCACCTTCAGGGCTCAGCCTGTCCTCCCGCCTCCCTCATTTCCTCTGCTCCCTTCTCTTCACCACCGGGTGTGACCCTGGGGTCCCCAACGCCTCAGGACGAGTGTGTGTGTGTGTGTGTGTGTGTGTGTGTGTGTGTGTGTGTGAATAATCGAGTGACCCCTTTCACTATCTTTCAGCCCCCTCCCCTCTCTCCTTCAGAGGCTTCTTATCTCCGAGAAACCATTCAGAGTCCCATTTAACCTCATCCAGGACACCTCCCCGTGGATCATGGACCCCTTCACGCTGTGGGACAGTTGAACACACAAATCTTCCGGGGGGGGGGGAATGTAATCAGAGACTGGGTGCCTGCAGCACCTTCGTCTGAGGGAGCATAGATTGCTTCACACAAATTTGAGGTTTCTCCACCTGAATCTTAGCAAGTTCTGTAGAAGAGGAAGTCCGAAACTTAACAAGATACCAGACAAAGTCCTTGGGTTTTGGGAAAAGGACTCCCAGAATTCTCCCATCCTTGCCTACCAATAGAGTGAGAAGTATATGCCTTCTTGGGCTGCCCCTGCCACTCACTGCCCATTCTTTGTTTCACACAAAGGTCACTGATCTTTCTTTGCTTTATACCACACCAGGGAGTTCTTGGGGTAACTTTTCAAATTACTTTTCAAGTTTTAAACTTCCACTCAGTCCTCTCAAAAAATTCTCCCACTGATGGATGGAGGTGCACCTCTCTCCCTTAGCACATCCTACACAGGATGCCCAAGGGATCTGAGAATGGGCAAAGTACCTTCCATCCTTAGCTCCTCCCATGATGATTGCTCTCACCATCAAGTCTGAACCTTGAACCAGACCCACATTGCCCTTATGCAAGTGCATCTACCTGACTTTCCCCTCACCTAGGCTTTCTTTGCATTTCCTTTTGGTTTAAAGCTGTTCTTTCTTCCTGGAAAACACCCCCAACCCCTAAAAAAAACCCCAGCTGATTGCTGCTTATCCAGTCAGTCTCTACCTGGACATCACTGTTTCCCTGAAGCCTTCCCTAACTCCCTTAGACTAGACTGGGTATCCCTCCTGTGGCTCATAGTACCAACATGTCTTTTGGTTGCATATTTCATTTTGTTTAAGTGTTTCCAATAAAGTCAAAAGTCTCCACAACTGAGTCCTCTTGTTTATCATGTTCTTCCCAGGCCCATCATGCATAACTCTGTGCAATGTAGGCCTTCCCATTCTTGTAGATTGAATGAATGAATTAGGAAAAACTAAAGTTGGGAAAGATAGGACAAGATTCAGATCTATTGTTCAGAGAGTCACTATGAGTTGTACTTGACTTGATGGCATCTAACTATAACAATAACAACAACAAAGTTGGACAGTGAATAAGGATAACAAAAGAAGAACAGATCACTTTGAGTTACAGTGTTGGAGAAGAGGACTGAATTGTCGTCTGCTAAAAGAATGTCTTGGAGGAAGTACCACCATGGTATACTTTAAGGGCAAGGATGATGAAATCTCATGTCACGTACTTTGGACATGTCAGGAAGGATCAGTTATTGGAAAAAAGATATTGTGCTGGGCAAGGTGGAGAATTAGAGAAAGAGATGAAGACCCTCAACAAAATGGGTTGGCACTGTGAAGATAATAATAGGCTTGAGCATATCAATGACCATAAGTATGGGCAAGGTACAGATCAGCTATTTTGAGGGTGGGGGTGCTAATCTTGAGGGCACAGTGAGGGGTTGGAAAAATTAGGAAAGATTTAGTGGGGTCCTGAAAAGGTGGAGTAATGATGGGATTGGATCAATGGTGATTAATTTTCTAAAATACAATGTATGGGAATGAGACTATGAAACACAATGTGAATAAAAGAATGCGTGAAGCACAATATACAAAAATGAAACACAGTATATATGAATTTTGTATACAAGCCAATATTTAAAAAAAAACACCAAAACCCCCAAACCAAACCAAATCCTCTTTGCTGTCCAGTCAGAAATGGCTCATAGCGGACCCTCCAGAGGATTTTTCAGGGACTATCAATTGGATGAGAGGAGGTTGCTCATCTTTTTCCTGCACAACTTGTGAATTCAAACTACTACTAGCCTTTGGGCTAGTAGTACAACTCCTTACCCACACACTAGCTGTCTCAGAGACTATGATCCATCTCTGTACTTTCTGCTAGTAAGTTCTTTCTGACTAATTACTTTTAGTTGAGATCTTAGTACTTGGAATTGAATTGTGACCAGTGCAATTTCCAATGACATCTTTACATATTACAAGGGCGATCTAACTCAAGAGGCGTGGATCTTCCAGTGCCTCACAACTGTGGGAGTTTCCCCTCTCTGTAGGCATCTATTTGCATTTGCTGATTGAGACAGAAGCCTCCCAAGAAAATGCTTTGAACCTTGCCCACCGCTGGCAATCATCACATAGCATCTGTCTATCTCAGAATGTGCCCTGCTCTCTCTAATCTGCACTAACTCACTGACTTAACAAAGAAAACTCTATTTCCAAACATTATATGAAAGAATAGGGATTGGGATTCCAAAACATATTTTAGGGAGATACAATTCAATCCATAATATTAAGTGACTGAGTTCCTGCTATTTGTTACACCTAATATCTGATATTTAATCCACACATGGATCCTTGTCATTACCCTGAAAATTGGGTAAGGAAGACCAAAGAAGAATTGATGCTTTTGAGTGCTGGTGAGGAAGACTGAAAATAACATAGACAACCGAAAGAATGGACAACTCTATCTTGTAAGAAGTATAACCAAGTGCTCCACAGAGTAACGATGGTGAGCCTTTGTCTTACATACTTTGGGTATGTTGTCAGAAGGATCAGTCCCTGGAAAAGGACATCAAGCTTGGAAAAAGTGGAGGGTTACTGAAGGAGAGGAAATATCTCCATGAGATGGACTGACATAGTGACTACAGCAATGGAATTAAATACAGCAGGGCTTGTGAGGATGATGGAGGATGGAGCAGGACTTCATTCTGTTGTATACAGGGTCACTAGAAGTTAAAGTTGACTCCACAGCACTTAACAACAGCAAAAGCAAGCACTACTTGGCAGCATAGGTCATGGAGCAGTGGCTCCTCTTCCCTATGACTGAAACGCATCCTTGCATCCACTGAATCAATGTCCTCAGTGCCATCATTATACGTTTTGGATAGAAACCTCAGGTTTGATCACATGTCCATCTCTATGTCTAACATGTAAGCAGTTACGGAGCTTATATCTCAGTGAAGTCAACATATTGCCTGACTGCTTAAGGACCCTAGAACTCCCCTCATACTAATTTTGTACCAACTCCATAAGCAGCCTTCTTTAAAACCTCTTTTTTCTCCTGCTGTGACCCTCTAGTCTAGAGAAGGTTGCAGGCAAATGTACTAACTGTACATTCTCTCACTTATCTGCTCAGTCTCTTTGTCATCAGGAACAACTCTCTGTGTGTGTGTGTGTGTGTGTGTGTGTGTGTGTGTGCGCCGTCGAGTCAGATCCAACGGGCACAGGAGATTGCCGCTCTTTCTCCAGCAGAGTATCTTGTGAATTCAAACTGTGTACCTTCAGGATTGCACAACAGCTTCTTGCCACTAGGCCACCAGAGTTCCTAGGGATAATTCTTGCTGTACTAATACTTTAGGATATCTAGTCCTAATTTCTGTTCTTTGTGTGTTTGTGTGTGTTTACTGTCTAGTATTAGACCTTTTTAAAGTCCAAAATGTCCAGCTCTCAGGGATCCTTGAAGAATGAGGAAAGACTTAACCCAGTTCTAGAAACATGTTTTGGAGTCATAGCTCCTAATTGCCCTGGGCAAACAGGGATGAATTAATCCTGGTTGCTTTTCTTCAGGATCTCCTGGTCTGGTGGACAAATGAACACTTATGTATTCTCCTTAGAATGTTTTTAGTCGTCTGTGAAAGAGAATAATACAAAGATGTATAGTGCTGCTATAACAGACATGCCACAA